CAATGGAGAGTTAGGATTTCTGGCAACTCTTTATCTGCTGTGTGATTGCAGGCAAGTTGTTTCCTCTTTTGCCTGACTTTGATGCGCCTGGGATAGGCAGATATAATATCTAACCCTTTAACTCGTGAGGTGCTTTGAAGCAGCAAAGTGTTACGGGCTACTAAGGGATGGATGTGTGGCTGTTTTGCTGTTCTAGACCAACTACATTTATTTATAATATTTTAGAGTTTGAAAATTCTGTCAGCTGGGCATGGTGATTCCTGCTCTTTTTATCCAGCTGCAGAGTGAGATAGCTTTTAATTTTCTTGGGAAAGATTGTTTTTATTTAACACTTGTTGAAATGACTTCACTGCCTCCCCCTTGCTCTTGCATAATCAGACAGCTGAGATGGTTCATGATCACACTGCTGCTTTAGCTTTAGGATTGTCTCTTTTTTTTTTTTTTGGAGATCACAGCTGAGCCTAGATTGAGGTCTAGTACAAATCCCAAAGAACAGGCTTGAGCTGTGAAAGCTGATGCTATTAGAGCATAACTTTGCTTCTTGCATGTGAAGACTGGCCAGTCTGTTGTACAATGGTCAGGTTTTCTAGGTTGAAGCAGAGGGAGTTACCTGAATATAACGAAGAAACCTTGACTGTAGCGCACTATTTTTTCGTTATAAAGGAGAGGCAAGGAGGGTCTGAAGTACGTCTTGGGGGATTATGACATATGCCACTGAAACCTATTCATGCTGCGATCCATTTGAATCGCAAGTCTGGAGTGAAGTCTTCTGTTAATTCTGATTCTAAAGTTGCCCAGCTTTCTTCCGTACATCACTATGCCCTTCTACAGGCCCGCACACAGCTGGGGGTAACTTCCAGCAGGGTATCAGGTGTCATGCAAATACATGTTTTCAGTAGTAAGTGGGGCTAAAGAAGATTAGGGGGGCTCAGAAGCAAATTGGTAAGACTTTTTGCATGCTAAGCTTGTTCTTATCCTTCTGGTTTTCGGACAAGTGAAGCAGAGCAGATTTACAGCCCACAGATCTTCTAGATAATTCAAAGCATACCGTTGTGTCCACAAGAACTAGACTAACTTCTGTGCCTAGCAAGACAGCTCATCTGTTGGGGTGGTTTTTGTGTGTGTGTATGTCTGTGGGGTTTTTTTTGTTGTTTTTTTTAAGAAAAAAACAACACTAAAGAGGCTCTTTTGGCTCTGGAGTTGAATCTAAGCAAAGCCATACCCTTCAGGTCTATAGCTTTCATAGCTCTGGGTTGGTTTTATTTTATGAGTGGGTTATCCTGTCTAGACTCCTGCTTTGACTTGGAAGCCAAAATAGAAGCAGTAAAGCTAGTTGGCCGCTTAGTGGGTGACAAACCTTCTCTGAAGTCTTCTCATTTGTTAGGGCCCTTTTCTCCCCTCTGCTCCCTCTCCTGACTGTTTGACAATACCTCAGTAAGTTTTGCGAGCTACAGATACGGCTCTGCTAAATTTAGCATGCCAGATGCCTTCAATAAGCCTGAGCCCAGCTATCGGTTACACTGAGATCTGTTTCAGTCAGGCACATCCCTCTGCGGAGAGACTTGCACTAGTTAAGGTTGAATGAGACAGAGATTCTTACAGCATTAAGAAACTCGGAATTCCCCCTTTTTCTCCCTGATGTTGGTTCTAAGCTAGTGTTCGACACTTGCTATTCGCTGGGACTGAATTTGTGTTTCCTCTTGACTTGTAACTCTGGAAATTGGCTTCCTCTTGAGCTATCATTCTGTATAGCAGTTCTGCTTTGGCATACGTCGAGAGGCAAAAGGCAGCAAAGGCTAATGTCTCATTTAGCCTGTGTTACTTCCAGCCTGAATTTAAGACATTATATGAAGAATAGTGTTCAAATCACAGCCTTCTAGTCCTAGGATATGCTGGGAAAATGCTTCCAGTAGAGATGGGAATAAGTTACTGCTGTTGTACAAGGCAATAGCAAGTATTTGGGGTGCTGTAAGCAGTTTTTGTTAGCCATGGTTTAAGGAAAATTAACTTTAATCTGAAGGAACGGAAAGAAGAGCTAGTATGACAATAGTAGGAATGAAGAGCCAGTTTTAGAGGAGGAGGTCAGGAAATTGGCTTTAGTTAGAAGAAGGAAAGTAGAAAGAGGTCATGGTAGCTCTCTGAAGAGATGTGTGGGACAGGGTGTATTGGTACCCATTGACTACTGAAGCTAATGAGCGACAAGAGACAGCATATGCATAGACTTGAGTACATTTAGGATGGAAATCGGAAGAAAGCCTAACTATGAGCAAAATGGTAGCTTGGGACCAGCCTTGCAGTGGAAGATAAGTGGCTTCAGAGGGCTGGTATTCCATCTAGGAAAGGGTGTGGATTTGTAGAGCACTGTGAATAATAGAGGCCTGACATGATGAGACAGGAGTCCCTCATTCCTCCATATTAAACATAGTTGCTTGGGATGGGGTGGCTGAGTTAGTCCAGAAACTTTGGCACCTGAGTACAGTTGACTGTTGTGTGTTCCATGGAGTGCTATTTGAGATGTAGGATGCCAGTAATAAGAGTGTCTCTTCTTAGGAATGTTATTGGAATAATAGAATAAAATAATCTGTTGAGGAAGGGCAAGTCCCTTCTGGGTGCTTCAGGCTCTTCACACATCTTTATGTTTTTTCATATGCTAATCTGAGCTCATGATGTAGTTTTTTTCTTTGCAACAGCAGAGGATATTTCTGGTACAGCCTGTAATGAGCTGGAATGCACAGGAGTGGCCTAATCAGACCATAGCTGATACAGTAAATGTGTGTTACTGATTTGGCTGAGAGGTGACTTGAAGAAGCAGGTCCGCTTCTAAATAGCTGTGAAAAACCCAACTAACCAAACAAACAAACAAAAAAACCCCAAACCCAAAGCTATTTCCATTACTCCAATTATAAGAAAGGGGTGTCCATTTTATGTCCTTTGTTGCAGGTGCTTTGACTTGGATCTTTTGAGGCTGTGCTAGTTTTGAGTCCATAAGTTCAAAGTGTATGTTATTTGGTAAATAACAAGGTGTAGCACAAAATCATCTAGATGATGAATGATCCCTGTGTTCCTCTTGCACAGTACTTCCAGTTTAAACCGGGGTAGGCTGCAGTTTTGTTCAAGAACCAACCCGTTCTGCCTCTGGCATTTTTTTTCTCCTCTATGCTGGCAGAAGACTTATGTGGTGAACCCAATCAGGGAACTGATGTGGGTTAAAACTAAACTTTTCTTTTTTTGGCTAGGTTAGTTTTAATTGGGGTTGGTTCACCACATTTTTGCATAAATGTTTGTGCCAGCAAGAGGATGGAAATGAGTGTTGCAGGGACAGTGAGACTGCTGCTTTCGGCAGCCGTGCCAGCTTTCCCGTGTTTTCACTTGAGGCCCTAATAGCACTTCTGCCAAGCTGTTCTCAGGCAAAGCGATGAACTCTCATGATGTGGGTCTTCCTTTCCATGTGCTCATTTAGTTTACTTATTAAATGTTTTTGTGTGTAATAGATGTGGTGCTAATTTAATCAGCTAGTGCAATACATTAATTTATGGCTTGAGTGCGTAATATTTAAACAGACATTTAGCATATTGATTTATGCTTCCTGCAGTGTTTCTCAAACTTTTTTCATATTATCCTCCAGGATAAATTACTGGCCCTGGTGCAGCTCTCGAGCAATGAGGAAACAGCTAGTGACAGAGCACAGGAGGCAGGCAGAAGGAGATGGTGGGAGGCAGCAATGAATGTGGCAAGTGGTGAAAGATAGAGGGGGGGAGCCCAAGGACTTGAGGAGATCTGTAACAGCACCTTTTAGTCACCTACTACTGGAACTTTTTTCTCTGGCCTGATGCCAGCCTTGGAGGTGATGTCTTGGCTCAGCAGCTATGAGCAGCCTTAGACTCTGCTTCTGCATTTTATTATTAATTGCAGAATCACAGAATGGTAGGGGTTGGAAGGGACCTCTGCGGGCCATCTAGTCCAACCCCCCTGCCGAAGCAGGGTCACCTACAGCAGGCTGCACAGGACCTTGTCCAGGCAGGTCTTGAATATCTCCAGAGAAAGAGACTCCACAACCTCCCTGGGCAAACTGTTCCAGTCTGAACAATTCCCTGTCTGAAACCTTCTTGGTGAACGTCCGTCTTCTGGCCACGGTCCTTTTCTCGGCCATCTTGTCGTGGCTGCCCTGGCAATTTAAAAATAATGTTAGAAAATACACTACCTGATAACAGTCTGTCAGATTTTTGCTCAAGTATGAAGAGGGACTTGCTCTATAACAACGTTACTGTGAGTTCATTGTGAGAGTTCATGCTAGTGTTACTGATCTGCTGAAGATTGGATCTACTGATGCACAGATATACCCGGGAACCCACATGACACAGTTTTTTTTCCTATGCTTTGTGAGAAAAAGTAGCAGCACTGCTGGCTGGCTGGGATGAGAGAAGGGTGCAACTTGCCTTCTGTGTGCCTGAAGAAGCCCTGTCGTGCTAGGCTGAACAGCTGTCCTTAGCTGGGCATAAAACAAGTGTTACAGTTACCCCACCATCTAGTAATGCTTTGTTTACAGTGGGAGTGCTGCTGTGGTGTGAGATCCTCCTTACTAGCTCAGTACTTACTTTATGTTGGAATGTAATTATCAAAGGGGCTTAATATTGAGAGCAAAAATAATCTAGAAGATGGAAAAGGCTGTGAAACAAAGGGCTGGTGGCAGCAGGAGTCACAGATAAGAGATATGGCAGGCAATTTCAGCACAGTGTAGTGGTTTATAGATAGAAACTTTAGAAATATATCCCATTGCTGTTGCTTGTAGTATGCCTGGGTATCTTGACATGGGTGAGATCCAAGAATATGGAGACTGTTGCTTCTTCTGTCATTCTTGGGATCGCTGTTGGAGAACATGCTGTCCAATTCTAGTGAGATGTCTCTTGAGATTGCTGTACAATTGGGCAGATCTCAGGGGCAAAATACAAGGATTTGTGGCTTAGGAATTGCCCTTGCAGTGAGGGGAGAAAAAGATCGACATGTTCTGTGTGGTAGGGGGAAGATGAGGAGCTGACTGGAAGAAATTGCAAGTACCTGTACTGGCATAGGATGCGTGACACCAGAGGGCTTTTTAATCTCTTTGGCAAACGTGTGACAAAAGATTGGACTTTGGAGTCAGCTAAGTTCAGTATGTAAATTCCATCCATTAATTCTCAATTGTTAGAATAATTAATTGGAACATCAATCTGAGAATTACAAAATCATCAGTAGTCCATTAGGTAATATTAGATGGTTCTCTGAAAGGTAGGCCCTACTTAGAAATTCTTTAGCTTCTGTAGGGCTCACTGGGGAGATTGATCTGTGCCATACCAGAGGGTGGGCAGTGGTGATCCTCGATAGCTTTGCAGAACTGAAGACTGTATTCTTTGCTGCAAAAGAAAATGAGAAAGTGGGTGTGAAGGCAAGTTTTGCGTCTTGAAGTAAATGTTAAAGGCTCAGTTCCTGTAGTTTTTTCTGATAGTTTTGCAGGCTGCAGTACAATGCCTAAAAAGTATTGTATATTTATAACTCATCATTGGTAGCGATAACTAAAACTGATATCTGGAGTACTAATTGTTTAAGAGTTTTTGGTATGTTATATAAGTCAGTTAATAAAGCAGAGACAGATTATACTCCATATTACTTGGTACAGTTCTTGAAGAAAAGACTTGTTGGTTAGTATATTATCTTTGTTTCACTGTATTATTTAAGTTAATCTGTGCTGTTGTGTCCTGGGCATCAACCTATATGAAAAAGTAAGCTGCCTAGGCACTGGAGATAGAAAGCAGCTACTGCACGTTACTAGAAAGAATTTTGAAGCCTGGTGTAAAAGGATCTTTGAAAACTGCATTTTTTGAAAACAGAATTTGCCTTTTTTTTTTTTTAACAAGTCAAACAGTATCTTTACCAATGTTTAAACAGAAAACAATCTGATTGCACATATGCATTCAGTAAAACAAACCTGAGATGAACCTAGAACTGTGTGCATTTCTAACTCAACATGCATTGGGTTTGTACCTCCCTACATATTCTGGTGATCATTTGCAAAAAGATTTTGATTATCTTTGTTTTTTATTTTTCATTCCGGTAGTCCTTGTTAAAACTGTCTACCTACACACACAAGAAATTGACTTGGGGTATATGAACAACTAGTATCTTTTTTTCTTCCTTCCTTTTTTTTTTATTTGCTTCTGTATATGTGGTGTTTCTGTCAGCAAGTTAGTCTTAGAAGAGGGAGAAGCTTGGTCTGTTTCTTCTCAGTATAATTCAGTGCAGTACTGGTATTTTAAGGCTGTGATTCTGCTCTCAGTCAACAGAATTACTTCAGTGATGATCATAATAGAGGCGTATATCACCTTGACAGTGGCACCATTGCATGTTAACAGGCTTAATATGAGTTTGCTCCACACAGTATTGTTGCTTTTTAGAGACAGATGTCCAGTAATGATTTACTCTTAAGTGTAAGCTTTATATTGATAGGTGGTAAACTTGAGGCTGTCTTTGAAGCATGGATAAGAGCTTCATTTTCTTGGTCTCTATTCTAGCCTCGTGTCCCGCCCATCTGTTCCCCCACCCCCACATCTCACTTGATGATCAGTGAGAAAATTAACGGGATAAAGTTAAAGCTAATACTCCTACAGAGGTTCGTGTTCTCCTGTCTCCCACCCAGTAAAACCACATGTATACTATGGTACATCAGTGTTAGGTGTGGCCTGAGAAACTTCTGACTGTATAGTGCCAACTGAAATTGGATTTGGGAGTTAAATCAGCCACCAACAGACAATGTTAATTGTATGGGTTGAACTTTGCAGTTCAAATATGTATTTAACGGATTATTAGGTGGGACAGTTCTCTAAGCATAAATAAAATAATTAATTTTCTGTTTCCTTAGAAATTTTGCAGTGTTTCAGATGTTAAGCATGTTTTGATTTGTTCCAGTAGCCGGATCGAGCTGGGAGATGTGACGCCACACAACATTAAGCAGCTGAAGAGGCTAAACCAGGTCATTTTTCCTGTCAGCTACAATGACAAGTTCTACAAGGATGTACTGGAGGTTGGCGAGCTAGCCAAATTAGGTACAAATATTCTTGCTGGTATTTGTGGGCTATGGTGGCAGAAGTGCTCATCATTGCTATCCATAATGGTTTTGAATATCAGATTCTTCTATTTAGTTGTTTTACATAATGAAAAATAAACTGGGAACCTCAAAAAAGCCGCAGTCCCAACCTCAGAGAGTTTGTGTTCTAAATAGGTTCCATTTTACTAGGAATAGGCATGTTTTCTGTTACAACAGAGAACTTGAGAAGGTGTGTCCTGCCAGCTTACCTCCTGATGTCATTGCTAGTTGATTTGAACTTTAGTAAGCCAACCACTGTGCCAGAACACCTTTGGTAACTTGACTCCAAGTGTTAAGCCACAATGTATGATATTTCATCTGGATGGGAGAATTAGCAAGAGGGAAGGAAGGAAGATATTAGGGCGTAAATGAATGAGCTGTATGTACAGTTTGAGACTTGTGGATGATAACTCTTTGTTTCCCTCCCTGGCAGCCTATTTCAATGATATTGCAGTGGGAGCAGTGTGCTGTAGGGTGGATCACTCCCAGAACCAGAAGAGACTGTACATCATGACACTTGGATGCCTGGCACCCTACCGAAGGCTAGGAATAGGTAAGGAGGATCTTGTTTTGTATTTGAGTCATCAAAGAAACCAGATTGCTGTGCAGCCTTGTAAATGCTCTTTCTGGCTTTTAACCAAGATAGTGCACTTTTCGACCACTGATTTCTTTGGGAAGGACTTTGGGGAAAGAGTATGATTTATGATGTGGTCTTTTTTTCCTGCCTTTCAGAAATTTATTTTTTGTACAACTTTCAGGGTTTCAGATTAAAACAACCTTAATCACATTATCATACTGTGATGTAAATACTCTGCTTCTACAGATGTGAAAATTGATGCACAGAGATATGAAATAATTTGTCAGAGGTATGCAGCCAGTATGCAAGTTGTATAAGTAGAACACAACATTCCTTCATTGGGTTATCTCTTCACCCTTCTAAATGAAGGGGGTTTTCTATTCATTTTGTCTTTATCTCTACTGATTATTGCTGCTTAGGGGTACTACCTGCTTTCTGTCTATACTGCAATTACTTCTTTTCCTCATGTTGCAAATCCATCAGCCAGATTAGTCCAAGACCTTACAGTAACCTGTTTGCTTTGACAAACTGGAATGAAAAAATAACTTTATTTTAAATTATTTTGCTAGGTCTGTATTAGAAAAAATTACCCATGCTCTCACTGCTTTATACATTGTTTTGACCATATTTTGAGGTGAGTTTTAGCTCTGGAAGCTACTGTTTAAATAAGCTGCTTTAGATGTATGCTTCTGGGCGGTTGTTTCTTTGGAGAAAAAAAACCCAAAACAATGAATTAAATTTTGTGAGCCATCAGAAAGAGAGTGGAATACTTACATACCATGTTTTATTTGCTTTTCCTAGTTCTTACAAATCTGTCACTTTAGCCTACCTACAGTTAACCTGCTTCTCCTCAAGAAAGCCCTGAGCGAAGTACAAACTTGATATTGCACTTCTGGTTTTCTTAAGTATCTCTTTACCTTTTGGCAGGAACTAAAATGTTGAATCATGTCTTAAACATCTGTGAAAAAGATGGCACTTTTGACAACATCTATCTGTAAGTAAATGAGTTACTCGTGCGTTTTTGGAGAGATAATAGAGACCTATATGGGAGCAAAGGGAGGGAAATGCAAGAGCATTTTTAGTATAAATTTCAGTGGAGTCATGGGACATGTTGGAAGTACTAGCAAGAAAGTGAGGGGTCATATTCTGGGCTGCTTGTGTGATGCTGAGAAAACCAAAAGCTTGCTAGCTTTAGAAAGGCTTCTGCAAATTTGCTGAATTTGAAAATAGTTTAGTTAGAAAATTATCTTCTATAGCAGAATTACACTGTATGACTAAAAAATTTTTCTGAAAGATTTTTTTTTACCATACAGTGTTGTCCTCAGAGTGGAAAATACTACAAGTCTTGCACGCAGTTTTGATGCATTTTTTGTCTTTTATGACAGTACTGTGTGGGTTAGAACATCAGATCAGAGGTGCTTGCAAGCACTCTAGGTTCACATACAGTGGCAATGCCCAACTGCTTATTCCCGTTCTTGCACTGCGCCAGGTCAGCTGTTTGTGCAGCAACATAGTAAACTATGTCAATGACCTGACCCAGCTAGGGAAGCTGGTTTTGATTTTGTTTCTGGGTGTTGTTTTTGGGCTTAGGGGTTTTTTTGTGTGTTTGTTTTAAATCAGCTGCATGTGTACATAAGCACTTGGCATGATGCAGATATGGGAACGAGCACTGGGGCAGAGGACAGGGCTGCTTAAAAGAGCACCGTTGTCCCAGTAGATCCCCATGGAAATAGAGCCTGAAATCCGTAGATGCTAAAGCTTTGCTTCCCCTTTGCTGCTGGCTGCACACTTCTGCTTCTCCCTGTGATTTGGTGTCTGTGTGATTACCACGTGAGCTGATGCAGTCTTTGGCCAGACCGCTTCTCTGAGACAGCTTCTTCCTCATCCATCACTGCCTGCTTATACCAGTGAAAGCGTGGTGTGCTGGTGGGGATTGTCCTACGGCAGGTACAGCTTGGATGGACTTATGCTGCAGCAGAACTGCACTCTGAACTCTTGCCAGGACAGTTGAAGATGCTTAGTGAGGAGTGTTTCATACAATGATACTGCTATAAATGGAGTGACTTTCTCCTCAAGCTTAGTCCACCTCTGCCAATGAGGTGCAAAGTCTTCCAGGTCCTCTATTGTTGTAGCTTTGTGCCATCTCTGTAAGAGGATCAGGTGTTTTAAAGATGAATCCGAGTAAAGCTGCTTTCGGCTTGTATTCCAGCTCTCCTTCCTTAGAAGTAGTAAGGAACTCTCAGATCACAGAATCACAGAATGTTCAGGGTTGGAAGGGATCTCTGGGGATCATCTGGTCCAACCCCCCTGCCGAAGCAGGGTCACCTAGAGCAGGCTGCACAGGACCTTGTCCAGGCGGGTCTTGAATATCTCCAGAGGAGAATCCACAGCCTCCCTGGACAACCTGTTCCAGTGCTCTGTCACCTTCAGAGGGAAGAAGTTCTGCCTCGAACTAGATACCTGCTAGTTGGCACAATGAAGGAACTGTTTGCTAATTTTAATGCAAAAACCAGATCCTTCATAATCCTTATTTCCCCTTCCCAGAGTGGGATTCTAGGATGACAATAAATAGCCCCCAAAGTTGGGCATAACAAAGTTCTTCTAGTGGTCCATTTATTTTCTTACTATGCCTGTTGTTTGTGCATCTTCTATCTGAACATATTATGCTTAGCACCCATTTTGATACCAGTGCTGAAATTTGTCGTTGCTATGAAGTTCCCTTTTAGCTATTTGCTGGTTATTGTGCTTAACACTAAGATCTTTTGGTTTGTTCTGCTGTTGCTTCCAGAGTTGCTTTGGTTCTACGGTTATGCAGCACATTGTCATGACAAAGTGATTCATGAGCTTGTGCAGCACCGTCCGCTGCGTTTTGGGATTGTTTGCTGAATGTCCAGTGCTGAGCCAAACATCTTTTTTTTTTTTTTTTCTTTTTCTTGATAGAACTAGTGCAAATAAATGTCTTAGTCGCTTAGAATGAAGAACTGATGGCCGTTTGTTCTGGAGGCGTTGAGAGTCTTGGAATATACTAGCAAGATCTGTAAAACTCTGGGAGAGATAGATAAAAGGGGAAAGGACTTTCTAAGTCCATAGGGTTTCTTTGTGCTGCCAGCTTTTTGTGGAGAGAGAGGGGTAGCTAGCAGTGAGCAAGGAGTTAAAATCGTATCAAACACCATTGCCAGTCTTGTGGTGCAGTGTGTAGGGATCATCACTCAGACAACTGTTTTGGTCATCTAAGAAGTATCACTACAGGAAGTTAAAATTGTCTCTGCAGTGGAACTTTGCTGTATATGTACAAAAGATCTGTCTCTTCCAGATTAAGAAAAATTGAAATCGCCAAGCTGGTAATGCTTCAGAGTCTCTCTGCTATTTGTATTCCTTAAGAGCTTTACTGAGGGTAAACATGTGCCACTTCTCAGAGTGATTGCCACAGGCTGTCCAGGAGCTGTGTGTTAGCTCCGGGTTGATTTGGGAAGACCAAAATTTCCAGTCCTGAACTTACACCGTCATTCCTGTCTCTATCTAGGTAGCTCCTTTTCTATGTTGTCTTTGACCATTCTGAGTGTGGAGGCAGAATACTGTGCTGCAGAAAGTTGTGATACATATGTCTCTGTCCTCCGCTCTGTCCCAGGCACGTCCAGATCAGCAATGAGTCCGCAATTGACTTCTACAGAAAGTTTGGCTTTGAGATCATTGAGACGAAGAAAAACTACTACAAGAGGATAGAGCCGGCAGATGCTCATGTGCTGCAGAAAAACCTCAAAGCCCCGTGTCTTGGCCAGAACGCAGATGTACAAAAGACCGACAACTGAACAAAACCCCAACGAACACTTTCTTGCACTTGCTTGTCGCCAAATAAGGAAAGAGAGGCCTCTTGATTTTTCTTTTTTTTTTTTTTTTTACTCCATCCCTTCATCTTCTTAAGTTGTTGAGTTGTTTTTTGTTTTGTTTTCCTTGACCTCTCTCCAACAAAATGTAATGCTTCTTCCAAGGATTGTCCAATCATGTTCGGGGTTGGGTGGTTTTTTTTGAGCTCTCCTTTCTGGGTTTTTTTTGTTTGCTTGTTTTGGGGTTTTTTGGGGGGTCAGAAAAGGTGTGCAGATCTCCTAATTTTGAGGTGTGGAGGGCTTGAGCAGGTTATCCTGATGACAAGTTTCCTTCAGAATGATCTCTTTCAGTAAGCAGAATGTAAATCAATGGGGGGGGGAAGGAAAAGCAATATCTTGTCCTTTGACTCCTACATTATTATGTTTTTTTATAACCTACAGGGTACTTTACTCCCCCCCAACCTTTGAATGTTACTTCAGTACTTCCCACTCTTCCTCTTAGTTCCCCCCGCCTCAAAAAAGTATGTTTAGTTCTTTCTGATATTTTTGAGTATGGCTTTTTGCTCCATCTTTCGCTGAGAAGGGCGGGCTACTTTACCATACCTTTTCACTCTGCCTGGGCTGATCTTTTTGAATGCTTTTTTTAAATACTCCTCACCCAAGCTGGTGCTACACTTCTGAACTGACTGAGAGGAGGGTTTAGAGTGGTCTTTGTTTTTTCTTATTTTCATTTACCCAGCTCCTGGAAGGCTTCTGCCAGAGTAGGAGCTAGATTTGGTGTTGCCAAGAGTAACCTTGTAAAATAGGAATCCTGAGGCAAGACCCTTGCTTTAAAAATGGATGAAATGCTGTAGGGCCCACTGAGAGGTAGTGTTGCCCGTGTTGTTGAGATGGGAAAAGTGACTATGACCACCTTACCAGCTTTGATCACATAAGGCAAGCACCTGTCTCCAGATAAATTTGTTACAGCTGCTAAATCTGTGGTGACAAATCTGAGATGAGGCTAGGGTTGAGGAAACCAGGCAGTAAGGCTGAGAAGGCAAGCGCGAATCTGACCCTAATCACGTAGCTTTGCAGGGGTCTTCTGGATTTGCTTGGGGTTGGCTTGGCTTGCTGTGTTTACGTGCTGCTCCTTTGGGAGGAGGTGGCGAAGAACTGCACAGTTTGCTCCTTTGAAGAATTTTTTTTCGCTTTTCTCTGTTCAGTGGGAAGTGCAGTTCTCCTCTCGTGAGAGGGTGTTCATGGAGCACCGGAGAAAGCGGCATGTATTAGAGCATTTTATGGGTTTGGAAAATAGGCTGACTGGCTTCTTCCTAGTACTGTAACCTCAAAGCTACAGTAAACTCTACTAAGCTCTGCTTTGCATCCTTTCATGCTTTGTTTGCGTGAATATCAGTGCTCCTTTCTATGCACTGTTGCCAGCGATTTTATGTATGCCAATACAAATACCAGCTTGAGTTTGGAGTCTTCTCCAAGCATCTGGGAAAGTGCACTGAGCTGAGACAACATCAACCTGCCCCATCCCCCAAGTAGATACTGAACTGCATTCCTTTCCTGTTTGTTTTTTAAAGTTTAAATCCACATCTTGAATTCATCCACTTTGAAAACCTCCAACCTATAGTGCGCATGGCAGCATCCATCTGGTTAGTAGGTGCTGTCCAGTCGTTTGGGAACCAAGGATTTCAAGATGGGAGTTGTGGTGAGGCAAGGGACAGTGCCCCTCATTGCACATTACGTGGTCTTTGATACCCGAGGGGTGACTATACAAGCTGCTCCAGAATTACTCCTCCTTTCCCAGAGGTGTGTAGTGTTTGTTGGAGTGCATCTTGACAGACCTATGGTGGAAAACGGCTACTCTGTTTGCTGGGTTTGCACTAATTGAGTCTTGGGGATGGGCAGATCACGAGCAACAAAAGCCCCTCTGCATGGCCTGAGTACCTGTGTTTGCGACACTCGGTAGCAGACTCTGGCTAGAAAGACGCAAACAGTTTCCTTGGCCAGAGGCAGCCTAGTTTTGACAAAAGCTGATTTTTCGTACTGCTAGGACCTGCTCGCACTGGTTATGTTGGCAGTTCCAGCATCTTTCTAGAAGGGATGTATTGAAGCACAATTAGCTTGTCATACGCCAACATAGTTTCCCTGGCCATCTGTAGACCAAACCAAGAGAAGTATGGGGAAGGGAGAGAGATAATACTGTATTTGAGGATGTGTGTGCAGCCCAGCTGTAACTCAGACCATAGCTGCCTCTGGTGCCAAGCAAAGTGCTCTTCATTCTTCTAGAACTAAGTGGTAAGTGTTTGGGTTGGGTAGATGGGTGTGGGGATATGAACTCTTAGGATTTGCTGTTGTCGTAGGCTTCCACAAATCGGTGTGTTTCACAGACAGTTTTCCTTCAGGTTTAAAAGTACGAGTCTGATGTCTGAACTTACTTGGATTAACCTTTGTTTCTGTCTCTTTTTGCTTTGGGCTGCCATCATTCTATGAATGTATCCCTGAAAACCATTCTTAAAGCTCCTATTCCACAGCAAACCTGCCTCATTGTAACTTCTGATAAAATGTTTTGTAGGAGGTGGAAGAGAGTGTAACCACAAATCTACGACTCCTTTTCCCAGGCTATTAATCCTGGAAAACGGTTGTTGAATACAAGGTTTAATCTAAATCTTATAGAAAGCTGTGTTCCCTGTACATGGATAAGGGTGAGTGAAGGTCAGTAGTTCTGAATGACAAACAGTTGTATTTTACTAGTCTATCAGCTACGTTGAGTGTGGGAGGAGAATGCTGCATCTTAGTGCTGTTACCCAGAGACACTGAAATTGTGTGAAGTATGGGCTTACTGCAGAGACCTTCAGTTACTTTGGTTGTTGCTGCAGCAGGACCTCCTTTTAGCTTGAAAATAACAGCTTATGAACAGTTACATTTAAGTTGGGAGTTTCAGTGGGGGAAAAAAAATCGCACCAGCACTTCCTGTTCTGGATGAAGATCTAGCAAGGAAAATGTATGCGACTAACAGCTTTAGAGTGTAAATTGTGTATATACGAGTTATTCTTGAGTCTCTGCAACTGGTTTTGTCATACATCGGTTGAAGTATGAAGATATTATCTACAAAAAGACTCCTACTAGAGGAAACCATGGTACAGGGGAAGAAGAATCATCCAGGAGAGGAATCCCTCATTTTTGGGAGGGGGAAGGGAGAGATTTTATTTTGTGTATACAGAAACTGGCTGAGTTTACATGATGCAGCTAATGGTTAAACCTGCCAACTAAATATGAAATACTGTTACAATTGAAACAAACTTATGTGATATTTTGTTAATTGTTGATGGTGCCCTGTGTCTAGTAAAAATTTGATCCCCCAAATTGTTTTATTCTCCCACATGTTGTAATTCAGGGTCAGCTGCTATGCACAAAGTCTGTGTTCTGTAAGGTGTTTGCTGACCTGGATGTTTCTTTTGAATCTGCAACTGCTTCCTGATTAATTGGGCTAAGACCACCCCTGGTCTCTTGAGTTAAGTTTAGTCAAAGGTATGCTGTATGCAGTTTACAGATGCATTCTCAATATTACAAGTTAAATTGCAGGGGGAGCAAATTCTTTACAATAAATTGGTCCATTTTTAATCTATGTCATTGCCCTTGTTGTACATCAGGAGCATGTTTTTGTTTTTCTCAAACTCTTTAGAAATACCATTCAGAATAAACGTGCACTATTTGAGTTATGTCATTCACGACTCGTCGTGTGCATTTTTTTTGCAGTTCAGCTGTTTCCCTCTGAAATTGGATATAGAATGTTCCTCAGATGCTTCATAAACAGTGTAGCTCTGAAGATTTCTAACAGGAATTGTGAGTTTGGCTGCTGTGATGAATGCCATGGGTGTCTGACAGCGGAGGAGAGTGGGGTGGGTTTGTTTGTTTCCCCTAAAGTTATGAGCCTTTTCTCAGAAGTCCTCTGCCTTTGGGGGCCGGAGGGAGAGGAAGAGGAACTGTTCTGGAGTCGTTTTGCATTGACAGGTGAGCAGTCCTGAAACAAACAGACCAGGCATCAAGAACTCCGTGTTTTGGGCTTTATAGGTTAAATATTCTAAGTATTTAATATAGTCAGGAGTCAAATTAATTTCTAGCTATTGCAATTTCTATTCTCAAAGAATCTTTGAAAAACTATGGTCTGTACCTGTAAAAGTAACTGGTCTCAAGATGCAGTGACTACTCTTCCATATTGACTTTTCTCAGAAAGTTATTTAAGTAAAACTCATCTCTCTTCTCAACTGTTCCAGTCCCTTCTGTTAAAGCCATTTTGTCTGTAGTTTCTTTCTGCTCCTCTCCTGCTTTCAAGTGCCATTTATGAAGTGAAAGTTGCACTGTGGTACAGCTTCTGGTGAAAAAAATGCTACCCCAAACATTCTGCAGCATATTCTATATTCTTTTCATATAAATATTCTGTCTGCTTATTGAAGTTCCTCTGGAAACGGATTAATCAGTAGATGTAGTCGCCACATTCGTTAGGATAGCCTGCAAAAGTAGAGCTCGGGCTCTGAAACTTGACTGTGGTCTTGAGCTGCTGCTACCAGCTGTCTTCCCTGACCTCTGCTGGAGGGCCTGGCAGGCACAGCTGGAGATGAACTGCCTACCCTGTGTGCAGCCTTCATCACCCTGGCCTCACCACCAGCTGCAGAAGCTGCGAAGCTTTTGCTGTACTTAAACTGCTGCAGCTGTTCTCCAAATCACTCAGCTTTTATTGATGTGTCATGTTTTTTTCCACCGTCATCCCAGTCATCTCTCGAACAGCCTGTACAGTTTTGGACAATTCAGTTACTCCTTTGCAGGGAAACCAGCAGATAGCCCTGAGCATTTGTGTTGCCCTTTCCTAAAGCTGTGCTTGGTTCCATTGCCCTCACTGTATCCGGGACTCGAGTATTTATGGGGTCCTTGTAATAACTTAGGGTGTGCCACTATCTTAGTTATAACAGTTTGCCCTTTTTTTTTTTGTTACCAAGATGATTATTTAAAGAACAGTTACAATGCCAGGATCCAAGAAGTGAGTTGTAAGTCAGGTAATTCACTTCACGTGGAAAACTGGCGTTGTTGTTTTTTTCACTCTGTTTACCTGTGCTGGATATAATTTGCTGTTACAGTGCCCAGTCGCTCAGCATTAGAAGGTTCGCCTGTCGTTCCTCATTACCTAGACTAACCTCCAGCAAAATTTCACCTCACTCTTCTTCCTTTTTTAAAATAGTGTTGAGGAGTATAGATCCCAGCACAAATCTTTTTCTGCTCCCCTGCTGACCTCCCACTGGCGTGAAAACTGATCTTTCATTCTATGCCCTGTGATTGCTGTCTTTTAATCAGCTCTCCATCCCTGTGAGGATGCTATCCTCTGATCCTGTAGTAGGTTAGATTACTTAAAAGATCACTGTCCAGAAGCTCTTACGTGAAGTCCTTTCGAATATCTACCAGACCAATCTGTCAGCTGAGTGTTGTAATCTGTTTCTGGCAGTATTGCTTTTCTTCCCATAGGGGTTCTCCACATCTATTCAGTGTGCTTTGTATGGGGGACATGCTTGTTGGTCACGGTTATCTTATGTCCTTTTCTTTTGCCCCTGAAGAAGCACCAGTTAAAGCAGAT